TCATTATAACAACGCATTGATTGACTGCAAGAGCTTTAAAAGCACCGAAAAACACTTATCTCGATTAGTTGTCAACAAATACTTATACAAAATGCAATAAACATGAAACAATCAAGCTCTGCGGTGAGCTGGACAATCGATTTACAACTGAAAGCAGGGAAAATACAAAACAGATGTTCATGGACCATGCCTATAAGAACACCTGTACTATATTTGGTTCTAAATTGGAAACAGTCAATAATATAAGCATTCATTTGGATGGCAGAGCAATTTGTTTGAATAATGAACAAATAGCTTTTATTTACGATAATATATTATCTTTGTTAGATTCAACAACATTTTATTTGGTAGCTTTTATGAATTCTGTTCTGACATTTTCCTAGTTAATGAACCAAAACGGGGAAAACTATTTCAATAAAATAATCGAATTTTGAATAATTTCGCCTTTTATGAGAGCTATGGAGAAATGGATGAGGAAAATAACAATGAAGTTAGGATGTAATTCATTCATATTAGCTTTATAGCACTGATCATAAAAAAAGGCAGAAATAATAATCGATAAAGTAATATTAGAAAGAAAGAAAAAATTGGAGCAAAATATGGAATTTGTTTAAAAACTTATGCATCACTACCCTATTCTCTTTCCTATTAACTTCCTTTATAATTTTGTTTCGAATTTCTCCATTTCTTTAAATTTATTCTGATACATAATGGCTCTTATTTAAAATGACTTCAATAATTTAAAATTAATGAGAAATATATAAATTTTATTACTTTAATTATATTTTAATTTAATAATATAATGACTGATTAAATCCTATAATAAACTGTGCAGTTTAAAAATTTTGTTTTAAAAATCATATTCAGATTCAGTTATCATATTCAGATATTATTTTAAAGAGAAAGAAACTCTTCGCGTCAGACAGACAATCACTTATGAAATATTGTTTCAAAAAAATTAAATAAATAAGTAAAAATTTATAATATTACCTTAAAGTTTAAGCATTCAGAAAAGAAAACGCTAAACTTGAGTTTGAAAATAAAAATAAACAGCTGAAATATCTACCAATATTTTCTTTAAAAAAAAACTAACAAACAGCAACAGCATTAATTTAATAGTAACAAAGTTAAAGAAAAATAATTTAAAAACAAGTAAAATTAAATATAAGTCTAATTAGGGAGGGAAACGCGTTTAAAAAATAATTACGTCGCACTTTTAATTTAAGCTTACATGCTGAATAATTGCAGATTTATGTCAAATAATTTTTACAAAAATAAAAATAATGCTGGTATATTATGATTATGCGTATTTACTTTTTATGCAACAGTTTATAAGTGCATTAAGAAATCTTTAATTTAAAGCAATCTCAAAATACACTGATATTTATAAATTTTGAATTAAGACTAATCTTCTTTGTATAAAAACAATTAGACTAGAAACTGCTGTTTTTATAATCATTAAATCTTCTGAATGCTGTTTATCGAGCTGTTCCAGTATGAGATAAAAAAAAGTACAATCCTGCAAATTAAATATATTTAATAAGGAGTCACTATGAAGGACAATAAAGTATAGAGACAAAAAAAAAACTTCTTTGGATAAAGCATGCCTATTTTAAAAATAGAGTTTAATGGCCATAAATAAGAATATCTTATTTTTCTCTTGCTGCAACATTTTAAGAATAAATAGGTGCATTTTAATTAGGTGCAATTTTATTGCACCTAAATATTTTAAAAAATAAAATGGTTTCCAAATCTCAAATATTTTTAAAATTATTTATTTACACTAGAATTCTCATAATTTGAATTCTCTGTTGTAGATCATCAAATCTCATAATGCACAAAAATCATCCATTTTTACTGATTCATTATTTAAAAAAAAAAAAAAAAACAAAAAAANAAAAAAAAAAAAAAAAAAAAAAAAAAAAAAAAAAAATTGGGTAATTACCGAAACGTTTAAGAAATTCGGAAAGGGTAAGTAACTTAAAACCTTCAACTCTTCATAAAAACAGTTTAACTAAGAATTTTTAACTATTAAAGCCTTATCTACATTGTTAAAGTATTTACGTTCTTCAAAGTAGCCAACTTTATTTTAGCACTTGGCAGTTTAATCTCTATAAATGCATTCCAGAAATGCAAACGATAAAATACGCTTCCTATCTTTTGTTCTTAACAGTTTAAAAAAAAAAAAAAGAATTATTTCTCGTTTGAAACTAAAATGGTTTCCAAATCTCATATATTTCTAAAATGATTTATTTACAGCAAAATTCTCATAATTTGAATAATTTATTGTAGCTCATCAAATCTCAAATTGTACAAAAATCGTCCATTTTTACTGATTCATTATTTTAAAAAAAAATCGGGCAATTACAGAAACGTTTAAGAAGTTCGAAAATGGTAAGTAACTCAAAATTTTCAACTCTTCATTGAAACAGCTAAACTAACAATTTTAACTATTAAGCCTTTAACTGTATTGTTAAAGCATTTACGTTCTTCAAAGTAACAAACTTTATTTTAGCACTTGGCAGTTTAATCTCTATAAATGCATTCTAGAAATGCAAACGATAAAATACACTTCCTATCTTTTGTTCTTGACAGTTTAAAAAAAAAGAATTATTTCTCGTTTGAAACTGGCAATTGTCAAGCATACGCCTACTAGTAGGTTCGGCCAGGTAAAAGAACGTCAAGAAAAAAGGTCCGGCTTTAATGAAAGTGCAGAAGAACACATAGAATGCATTTTCCCCTCTCCTGTGTTACTTGTTATTAAAGAAAACCCGATTGGAAGTGCCCTGGGGCCGGGTCTTTAACTCTTAGCCATGCCGGTCATTACGAAGCTTATTTTCTTTCTTTTGCTTTTTTGTTGGGGTGCGTGTTGAAGTATTTGGAAAAGTAACAAGAATTGACAAGTTACGATGGATTTTTTTTCTTTTTACTTATTTAGCGATAATGCTTTCCTGTCACGTTATTTTAAAATAATTTGGTAACTTACAAAGAATTGCCTTTTCAGTTTTCATTATTTTTCGTTACGATAGGCTCCAAACAAACATGCTAAGCAAGTAAGTAATTGAAAGACTCTAGAATGTTAGAAATTTCGAGGACTGCTGTTGTTCAATTTCAGTCGTACATGTTTAACTTAATTGTGTGAGATGGTTTAACATGGTTTAATTTAACAACATTTTCTTAATGTTGCAGCGAATTTCAGCTATATCAAAGTTCAACGTCTCACCGAATGGAAAAGAATACAATAATCCATAGAAAGATTACAGCAACTTAAAGGTCGAATTGAAGTTATAATTTAAAAAAAAAAAACTTAAGTTGTAAAAACGACAAAAACATTAAAAATGTTAACTATAAAAAAATTCACATAATTATCAATTTAAAGATTCAATCGTGATTAAATTGATAATAAAACAATTTTGTATTAAATTTCTTTAATTTTTCTAAGCATTTACTTATAGAATTAATAGCAAAATTGTTGCAAATCGTAGCTTTAAAATAATTCATTTGACGCAAAATATACATATTGAATGCATGATTTAAATTACGTTTTATAAATCTGCTTTGTTAATTAAGACTTCAAGAAAAAAAAACTAACTTCCAAAAGAACTTAAAAAGAAATAATAAAATAAAAAATCAATAATGAAAGAAAAGTAGACCTATAGCAAATTTTCAATAAATTGAGGTTTTCCTTTTTATTTAGTAAACATAAATGATTGTTATATATTGCTAACATGCCTGCATAATTGCGCACATAAGTCAAAAAGAGAAGCAAATCTATTTAAATTACTTAGAAACTACAGAAGATCCTACAATACCTGATCTGTAAGCATACCTTACTTGTAAAAAATAAAATAATAATCCAAGTAAACAAATAGAATATCATGTCTCCTAACGAAAGCATAAACTTGAATTTTATATTGTTAAAAAAGCCCGTATAATAACAATGCAAAATAGGCTTTTATCAGTAGGAAATGTAACAAGGTTTCAAGCTTAAAAAAGACGTAAAAAAGTTTTCCGGAATTGTTTTGCAATATATAATAACAATCGTTGGGATTGACATTGACACCCCATAATAGAACATTCTGTGTTGTAACTAACTATAAATAATGCACTTATGTCATAGTTATCGACAGGAGGATGAAAAAAATTTTAGATTTTCATCTTATCCACATTAGATAGAAATTTTTGAACTTACTTTAATTAGCCTTTATCGAATAAAAGAGTTTTCTTTGCGCAAAAACAAATTCGTTTCTAATAAACTTTGTAATTTCAATTTAAAAAAAAAAAAATCTATTTGATAAAATAGCAATTCAAGAAACATTTACTAGCGGTTTAAAATTAGAAGCGCTATGTTTCAAAAACCGGGAGATTCTGAAAAGTTATTCCAAATTATATTTTTACGAATTTCCTTTCTAATATCATTCGAAACTGTCATTTGGGGACACTATAAAAACTTAATTCACGCGATTAAAAAGCGACAAGTTATTGAATTGAACTCATCGGATTACTAGTAGGCAGTAGCCAGTAAATAAATACCATAATAATCAAATTAAAAGATTTAATGAAGAAAAGAAAAATTGTACGTGATCGAGAAGATCAATATTTTCGGAGTCATAAAAATAAAATATTCGAACATAAAGTCAAATTGAAACAGTGACGATAAAATCAATCATCGAAATGTGATTATTTCCTTGAAACTGAAAATCGTCGGCTTAATTCATTTGGTACTAGTATTATGGCACGTTCTTCAAAGGGAAGTAGTATAAACAATTCCTTTAAATTCATGGTTTTTTCGCTAAATTTTAATTTCTTAAGCATATTTTTGAAAAGGTTTTTAAGATTTTAGAAAGGTTAAAGGTTTTATTCGATAAATAATAAGAAAATAACATATTTGAAAAGGTTTAACGATACCCGATTTATACAGTACGCAAAAAAAGATACCTATATTTTTGAAAAAAGGTTTTAAATATTTCCTCATTGAATAAAAATGAAAAGTTACTCACCAATTTTGGTTATCACACAAAAACTCGATCTAAACCACATATCCACAATTAGAAAACGAAAAAATCCATAAAAAATCGGCACTAAATTTTCATTCCTTTCTATTAATTATTGCGAATAAAGAAAGGAAAAAGAAATGCACAACTAACAATCATCAGCACAGCAACAACGTTGGACGACGCGGACAGCTCATTTGTTGCCGAAAAGAAAATAAACAATAAACTGCTCAAACCAGCTTAGTTTTTTTTTCTCACAAATACTCCAGCCGACCACTCAGCCAGTTCAACTTGGAATGACTAGGTCCCGAAGTTGGAAGATTTTCCACGCCTCGCCGGGGTGCTGGGAGTAGGGTGGGAGGGAGTAGAATGTAAACGTCATCCCCTCAAGGTAGGAGGATCTGTAGAGGGCGCTGTGCCCCCCTCTGATTATCGTTTGCTTCCCCCTACTGTTGGAATATCGTCAGGAAGAATTTTTCTTCCTACCACCAGTTTTTCTTGGTTTTGGATCGCTCAACACTGTCATTGAAACAATGAATAGCGCAAACTGTGAAAAGACATTTTGTGAAATGAGTGGTTTTGGGTTGATGATGGTGTCATTTGTTTAAAAAAAATGTGGGTGCTTCACAGATCTGCAGGTGCTCACATTTAGTTTTTGAACAGGTGTTTGGTTCTTTAAAGACAGGATGCTAGCCTGATTAGAGGACGGATTTTACTATTGTGTTATGTATTAAAAGCTTCCTCTGGAAATGACGTATAATTTTTGCGAATATTTAGTATACATTCCGGTGTAAATTGTCTCAAAAAGGCGTAATTCCTGTCACTAGCTTTAACACTAGAAAAAATTCAAGTTGAAAAGAAACGAAGAAGAAAAAAACTATTAGACTTATAAACTATTAGACTTATAAACTATTAGACTTATAAACTATTAGACATAAAACATAAAAAAATTATTAGACATATAAACATAAAACTATAGACTGACAAAAGATGGGTATATACCCCTTTCTAATGTTTCAAATAATTATATTGCCGTGCAATAGAAAAATCAACGTAAGCGGCAAAAAACCCAAAATTGAAATATTTACATACTTAAAAATTTTTTTTAATAAGTTTCATGCTGTAAAAAGACTTAAACAAATTTTTATTAGTGTTTTGTAATTTTAATTTAGGTTGATAGCATTAGCAACAGAAAAAAAAATAGTTGTCTCGAAATCTAACGTATAGCATAAGATGGCTTGATTTATAAACCGTGATTTGAGGACAAATCTGCGCTGTCCTCGAAAAATTTTTTGATTTGAGGACACCCATATGTTTATGGAAAATATTAATTTTTATGTCCAACAAGGATTTATTATTTTTGTTTTTAATTTTTCGTAATCTCATAGATAATATCAGATGCAGAACCATCTTCAACTTGAGATTTCATTACTAGGCAGTTTTAAAATATACAACATTCCAAATTTGAATACATGTAAAATAAATTAGTATACTTGATTATTAAAATTAGTTCATTTTTTGCTGAAATTATTTTAAGACGAAAATGACGTTTTCCTCTGATAGTTTTAGCATGGTGCTATTTTGCTTTTTGTTTGTATTCTCGGTGAAACAAAACTATCTCGTTTAAAAAAAAAAAAAAAAAAAAAAAAACCTGCGTATTTCTGATTCTTTTAATATTTCACTGTATATATATTAAAAAAAATATGTTTTCAGAGAAATTCGAGGACACGAGTTGAAATTCGGAGAAATTTTCTGTCTTTAAAGAGTTTTTTTAGCACAATAAAGGAAATTCGTAGACTGTCCTCAAGATTTGAGGACGTCTGGTCATCTTAGTGAAACACTAAAATTGCTTTTTTTTAATTTCAATTGCACAGCAGTATCATAATTTTTTTTTTTTCATAAACCCCTTTTTTTTTTTAACCCCGAATTTGATTTCTTTAATCTCTCAAATAAAATTTTCAATTTCTATTTTGAGTATGTTCAGGTTGGCAACGTAACGGAAAAGTGGAAGATGTTTAAATTCAATTTGATTTGATTGAATTAAACTTGACGCCTCGATCCAGTGTGGTATCGTTTTCCTATTTCCCCTTTGTTTTCAGTTTTAATCTATCAAATGTGTTCATTTTTCTAAAACTCGGATGTTTCTAATAAATGCAGTAACCGTTGAAATTAAACTCGATTTTATGAAATTATGATTCAGAGAGATATTTTTACCATAACCTTTTTTCTCGCGAATTGCTTCGTAAAATTTCCAATTTTCTACAATTCGAGGAATCAAACGCCTACAGCAAATGAATTCAACTCGGTTCTTCAAATCAACTCAAATTTTCTAGTATTTTTATCCGTGAAAAATTCCATTTCGCGCTACTTTATCTGTGTAATTTCTATTCAAGTAAAACTGTACTTTTTGATATTATATACCTTTATAATACCGTAACTGTGCTGTACTTTTACTGTTAATTACTGACTCTGTACTGTACTGTGAATAACTGATAACTGTTCCTTTTGATTTAAAGTTCTGTTCCGAAATATTTTGTTTGGATGAAATTCTATTCGACGACATTTTATCCAGGAGTTATTCTGTCCGACATTTTTTTTTTTTTTTTAAGCGTGATTCTTTCCTGTAATGTTTTGCCCGACTGACCTTCTGTTCCATAAAATATTGCCCAAGTGAGATTCTGCGATGTTCTGCCCAAGTAGGACTCTGTTTTATGATATTTTGTCTGAGTGAAATTCTGTTCTATGATATTATTTTGTTCCGAGTGAAATTCTGTTCCATGAAAGTTTACCTGATTGTGAGATTCAGCCCAATGATGTTTATATTGCCAGAGTGAATTTTTTTTCCTTTCCTGATTTGTCGGTGAGAGATTTTGCCTCGGTGAAATTCTGTTCCATAATAGTTTGTTTACGTGAGATTATTTTCCATGCTGCCTTTCTTGGCTGAAATTAGATTCTACGATATATTTCGTCTAAGTTATTATAACATAATTATAACATATACAACATAATTGTCTGTGAAAGGTTCTGGATTCGAATCCTGGACAAGCAAGGGTGTTCTTTCATTCCCTGTACTATCTGTCCTTTCTGTGGGAGCAACGTTGGCCAGTCTAATATGGCGCCCCTGAAAGAGTGACCAACAAATCTGCCCAAGTATGCCTGAATTAACGAATGTCAACCCAGATGGGCATAGGAAAAAAAATTGTCCGAGTTATTATAACATAATTAGTAACATGTACAATATAATTGTCTGAGTTAATATAACATAACAATGTAGCACATGTACTACATAATTGTCTGAGTTATTATAACATAATTAACAACTTGTAAAATATAATTGTCTGAGTTATTATAACATAATTAGCAACTTGTTAAATATAATTGTCTGAGTTATTATAACATAATTAGCAACATGTAAAATATAATTGTCTGAGTGATTATAACATAATTAGCAACATGCAAAATATAATTGCCTGAGTTATTATGAGATAATTAGCAACATGTAAAATATAATTGTCTGAGTTATTATAGCATAATCAGTAGTAAATGCGTTTAACTACATTTTGAAATAATGATCTGATTTTATCCATCACCTGAATGTCTTTTTATCAACGCTTTTTTACTAATATTTTTATTTTAATAGTATATTACAATGTCTTTATTTTATGCCGTTGTTATATTAACAAATTTATTACATTTGAAATTATATTTTTTTTATTAAACATTAACTAAAAAAATATATATACAGAGCAGTTTTTTAGAATGTTTCACGGTTCAAATGTTCATCGTCGTTATTACCAACGCACCTGTATTTGAAGTCAACTATTTAAACAGAAACAGGGCATTCACTCTTATTCTCTGCCTAGCAGTTAGAGAGTAAATCAGATCAATATACTATGCGTAAGTTCAAAGCTATATTTACTTTTACGCAGGTGGGTGTAATATATCATATAGCTTGGATAAAAAACTGACATAAAAAGTTTCATTTATTTATATTTCAGTTGTTCTTGAATAAAATTTACGAACGTTATACGAAGAAAAATTAATTTTGGCTCCGTAATTGCATTCGGTTATTTTTATAGCCAATAACATAGGGAAATTTAACATTCCAAATTTAATTGAAAATGACTATTTAATTTTGTTTTTGATCATATCTAGTAAATTCTATAGAAAATGCCCATTAAACTCTATAAATATGAATATTATTGGAAGAATACTGAGGTGATATTTTGAAAAATTTGTTTATTAAGGCAATTTGGTTTTTACTTATTTATTAAAAGGTTGGTAACATGCAGGGTGATTAAATATCCTTAAACAGTTATTTTTATTAAAGTATGGAAACATTTTCTTTTATATAATTTCTATTAATCACTATTTAATTTCATTTTGTTTCCTCGAGCAATCAAACAGGTTTTGGTGTTTTCAATCCAGCCTTCCCCCGTAATTATTGGTTGAATATTTCGATTGCGTTTCTGTTTTATTCCTCACTCACATATCAATCTATATCCCTATTCTTATATAAATTTTTTTGTATATGTATACATACTTAAAAATGTATATACATTTAAGAAGGTACATAGCTACACCCTCTATAAAATAAATTCGTATTTTTTAAATTCGTATTTTTCAATATATGAAAACTTGAAAGAAAAATGGATAATGCAAGAATTCTGATCCTTTAAACAACAATTAAAAAAATTTTTTAAAATAAAACTTGAAAATATTAGTCTATGTATTTATTTTTCAAATTATGAAATAATTAATTACTATTTGAATTCACCAGAGTTTTTCGTNTAAATTGTCATTTCTCGCATTGTTTTTAAATAAAAATTTTTGAAATTTTCGTTTGTTGCAAGATATTTCGCATAAGAACAAGTACCTCCGCTAAACTGTTCCCGTACCCCTGGGGGTACGCGTACCACACTTTGGGAAACACTGCTCTAGGGGAACATCAAAAAGCAAAGTAAATTTGACCGAAGCGTTTTGATGACTTTTCGTAAAATTAACAGTAAAATATAACTTTATTATTCTGCTGTTTTGTGGTAAATGTGATACAAATTCGTTAATTTTATTATATCTTAGAGCATGTAATAAAAACCAATGTATGGTTTAAATACTGTATAATTTGGTTCCTATACCAAATTTATGTTGTTTTTTTTTACTAGAAATGTTATTAAAATGTTACAAGTGCAGTAATTTTAATACAATTTTTCTCTTGTAAAATTACTGTATACAGGGTGATTATAAAATGACTTTGCCCTTTCTGGGGAGCATACCGTTTGAGAGAATAGAATAACATTTTGTACATAGGTATCATTTTCTAGAGTTCAAGAATGCTGTCAAAAATGAATACATAGTTTTCACTGTTACAGTTACAATTGCAAAATTTTTTGAAT